AACCGCTTTACTACCGCTCCCCACATTGGACACGCACGCGTACACATGATCTCAGTTAATGAATGAACACATTCAATGGAATGAATGTCCCGTTGTGTAACGGTCAGCACGTTTAGACTTGTAATCCAGATGTCGACGGTTCGATTCGATATCCCGATGCACCAATTGAGATAAAGTGAGCACCTTAAATCGCCCTCCTCTGCCCATCCAGGAGCATAAATGGCTCCACAGTTAGTTGATCGGCATGCCTTGTGTGATGGCGTAAAGTGTGGCTACTTCCACCTCTTCCAAAATATGTGCCATAATACCCTCTGGGATAGGTTCTTGAGAGCTTCCTCTCGTGGAGGCCTTGTCACCAGCATCATCGGTGTGCCAAATAACTTGCAAGGCTGCACCTTTGCCATTACCTATTTCACGACCTACGTGATATGCAGAGCGCTGATTCAGATTGAGGGCTCTACCTCACATAGGACAAAGAGAAAGATTCCCTGTGTAGCCTCCATAGACTGTTGGTAGCAAGAGCTGTTGTCGAGCACCGGTTGGCATGGCACACAAGGGTGCTGTTACCACCTTACCCAGCTGCCTCTGTTTTCCCAGTGCTGGTGTTGACACACCGCAGCGGATATTGTACACAATTAAATCACAATTAACCTGCAGAGAACGCAGGACAGGTTCCGCTTCCAATTTCCACTGATGTCATCCGTGGCCAGGAGTCGAACCCAAGTCGCCAAGTTCATCATCGCTCTGAGCGCGAGTCGCTGGTTCCCGCTACGTTCCACTACGTACCAGCACACGCTCAAAACAGTCAAGCACACGCTGTGTGTGGGAGGGCGTTATATTTGAGTGAGTCATTAATCCCATCCGGCTCATTCCAATATGAGCTCAGCCGTTCCTGTGTTGCTTTGGAATTTTTTTTTTCTTTTACGAGCCCCGACCCATTCACTTCCTTAAAGGTCTCGCTTCTCTGCCCACAGACCCAGTCCAGCGCCGTGCAGTATCGAACTGCACCCACGTTATTTGGCCTGTGGTGGCGGCGGCGCACAAGCACAGATACAAAACGAATAATAATTGATCGGTCATCACAATCGTCAAGCAGCACTGTGGCCTTAAGGTGAAAAAAAAAATGCGTAACGGGTGACGTTTCCAGCAGTGGCCCTTTCTCATCGCGCATGACTGGAGGGCAGAGAGATGGAGATCGCACAGCATGGAGACTGTTGAGAAGTACTTTTTTTCTTTCAAGCTTTCTCGTAGCCAGTTTTTGAATTGGCATATGAATAGCTCCTCTTTCGCTAGCAGTGGGGTAACGGACAAACCCTTGGCTTAATCAACGAGTGTCGCTGCACTGTATATACATGTACACACGCACGGCTCAAATCTGTTAGCCCTGTCGATAACCAGTGAATACTCATTGAGTCAACACGTCTCTTTTGCAATGGGAGACCTATGGCAAACACATGGAACAACCACTATGGCATCGGTTATGACAATGAATGTTTACATTATTTGCTTGGCACAGAGGCTCACAGGCTGCCACGAATCCGGTAACCTAAATTTTATTCCCATCCGTAGCTAAGGTCACTAGTCAGAGCGATGTTCTGCTCGAATGAGCATCGAGGCGGTCTGGAATCATCTTAAAGTTCATGTTTAAACGTGATTTTCTATATTTTTTTTGGTTGAATATGACAATTGGCAACGCATCTCAAGTGTACACGATTAACATCATGTCACTGAGTGGCGGCGACGTCACCGCAGCGCTCGTGCCAGGCTAGGTGCACTTTGAGGCCAATTGAAGTGTCGAAGGCTTGCTGACGGGAGGTCACGGGCAGATCAAGGTGTTTTGGGTTGACCGAAATGACTGACGGATGCACCACCCGTGCTCCCGACTGTGCCAAGGGTTGTGCGTTTTTGCCACCCTGCGCTCCGCTGATTGTTGCGAGCGTCGCTCCTCTGCCCTCCGTTATTGTTGGAGGCCGACCGCCTCCAACAGCCCAGCAGCGTCCTTCACAAGTCTCCTCCATAGAGGCCGATCTTAACACGCACTAATACGTACAGTACCACAGCATCTGGTGTGCCCCCTTTTGTCTGTGACTAACGCTGCTTGCCAGAGGGCACGTGTGCCCAGCCGGCAGGGCACACACATGGTTTTCAGCAGTCGGGGAATTCGGCTCGCATTTACGATCGCACTTTTGACTCTTTGATATTTCGGGAGGATGGCATTCCCCGCCCTCGGCTCTTGTTTTTGCCGGCTCTCATTGAGCTCTTGTGCTCTGCGCGGCCTGGGGATATGAGGAGGGGAGGGGACCCCTCTGCTCGAATGTTGGAACACGCCCCGCCTCCATTATCGGCAGGCGGATGCTTTAGCGGTGACAGCATGGTGGTGGCAGGCGGTGGGGAGGGGAGCAGGTGGTCGTGGTGGTGCTGGTTGTTGTGGTGGTGGTGGCGGTAGGAGGGCGGGTGGTGTGTTGGATGGCGTTGTGCCAAGACCGCTTCTACCCACATCTTCACCGTATCCCGGGCCCAGTGATGACACGGCCCATGACCCAAAGAGACAAGTGGCAGATTTGCATGCCTGCTGTGGTTGGCACCTAGTATGGGTAAAAAGTAAAGGTGCGGGCCTTGTAACCACTTGCTCACATCGCTGCTGGCAAAAGGGCCTCCACTAGAGAAAACTGTAGAGGGTTTTTGGTCTACTCTTCCACGTCGACTCGACAGGAATGATACCCATTTTTATATTTCGAATCTTCCGTTGTTGGTCAGCAGAGGGCATCCACACAAAATAATCTGTTGTACTCTACTTCTGTGCTCGCATAGCTGTTGCTCCCTGCCTTCGCCAACTTGCACTGACCAGCGTGGTGAAGTATGCTTAAATAGCCCCATGATCATTATAGCATGAGGGCTGGGCTTTCATCCAGCAGTGGATTGACAAAAGAAGGCTGGCAAGTATTATTAGCATTCATTTTTAATTTACAGAAATATACCGACGCAACTACTGTACCTCTTCTTTGCAAAAGAGGTGATGTATGTCAAGGTTTTCAACACGAAAAACAAACAGCTTTTATTTTGTAGACACATAGCCTTGGCTGTTTGAAGATTAGTTAAAAAATACAAGGGAGTTTAACCTGTCTTTAAAGATCGTACTCTGGTGACATCACTGAAGTGACATTTTGAATGGTATTGATGTGCAAGCGGTGGGATTTTAGTTGAGCACTGTGACTTCAGTGACTCCACAAGCTTTCAATCGACTTAATTTTCACGAGTATCCTCTGAAACTCATGTCGGACAGCCGTATCAGGTACTTGTGCTTCGAGTTTTGGCCCTCTTTGGATTCGGGATATTGAAGTGTTTGCAGTTGATCGACAAAGTCACATTGGGATTGTGGGCCCTGTCGTCCGTGGACAGTGTCGAAGGCAGTTCTAGATTAACGACCAGACCACTCTGCGCGGAAGAGTACAGCATCACATTTAAAACAAGAGACTGAAATCCACGCAAATTGCGTGGATTTCTGTTAAACTCTCCAGTGTGATTTTGTTCTCGGACGTAAGTCATTGGCAATGAACACATTCCTGCGGAGGGAGCTGGTAGGAACGTTGGGTTGCTCGGTCAATGGTCAGGGTCAACGGCGGCGTGGTGTATTCCGCAAATATGCCCGACTGTGAGGGCGGGCACAAGCCGGCGTGAGTAGGTTAAACGTTGAGTTTTTTATAAGGGCACCACGGGGTGACCAGCCCCTCCCCACCCAGCACCACCCCTCCCACCCCCCACCCTCCCCACCCACCCAGCCCATTTTTGGATGCACGACAGACGGACACAATAACCCCCTGTGGGCTGGTGGAACCAGGTGGTTCCTACCAGTATAACCTTGTATTATATCTTGAGCCACACAACGAGATGAAGTTACGTAATTACGCCACCGGGAGAACAGTGCGAGTGGAGGTGCCTGCTTTTAGAACTGATTTAAATAATTCTCTTAGCGCTGGGTTTTGTTTCATATTGTGGCCATGTTTGATAAATTTTTGCCAGTTTTGGATCGGGTAAGTCTCAAACAGCAACACAACTTTATACCAAAGTTATTTTTCACATTGGAATTTTTTGAGTCATTGCGCCAACATGGCACGGACAGACAGACAAAGCGAATGAATTAACGATTTCAATACTCTTTGGTTCTTTCGGTAAATTCACATAGGTAGAAAAAATAATACATCACGACGTTTCGATCACAGCACAAGCGACCGTCTTCAGGTGAGAGGGAGAAAGCTACTGAAACGAGGTCTTATGTCGGCTTGAGATGGGTGCAGCCTCAGGGTAAGAGAGGGCGGGGCTAGAGATGGTCTGCCTGAGGCTGTGGAAGTGGCTATTGTATTCTACCTACGTGACTTTACCGAAAGAACCAAAGAGTATGGATTCCTGCAGTCACGAAAGCTTCAAATCAAGATGAATGATTTCAACCTAAGTTTTAAAAGCGTGAAAACATTTTACAGTACATTCATGTAATCGTTCGGCGATGTATTAAAATACCCGCTCTGGACTTGTCACATAACTCAAGGTTCGAAGCTGCACCTTCACAGCTCTGATCGTTGTGTGAATGCTGCAAGTTATTAAAAACGGTGGCGTCCGAGCAGAGCGAGCACGGACCCGCGTGCGGTGGGCGGCGCGGTTGAATCGGCGTCGCGGCTTTTGACTCCGTTCGTCGGAGTTATGATTTATTAAAAACAATTTTTTTTTTAGAACGTCAAAAAAATGTTCTCGTTCGCACTTTGGAGCCGAGCAGCATTCCGGCATGCCGGTGAGCCGAGGAGCAGCACGGGGGATCGTTTGCGATGACTTGCAGGTGTTTGCTCTCTCAGCCAGGGGGGGCGGGGCGGAGGGGAAACTATGCTTGTGTGCTTTCATTGATCTGAACCCGAGTTCCACAGATATGCCCGTTGCTTGACCCAAGGTGATGAAAACCACCTGTTTTTTGCTTTCAATGTGTTTATTTTGGTGCCCCCTCTGTCCGGCAGCAGGAGTTGACCGGTTGGGAGGACAGCGAGCATCATGGCCGGGGCGAAGAACTACGAGGACAAGGATGGGGGGAATGCGTGTGGCACTGTCTGCCTCAAGTATCTGCTCTTCATATTCAACTTCATCTTCTGGGTGAGGGGATGCTCCTGGCCTGCTTACCCGTTCACTTGCTCGTTCGCCTGATCGCCTGCGCACTCGCTCACTTTCTCACCCGTTCACTCGCTCAGCAACTCATCTGCTCATTCTGCTACTCAACCACTCTTGTTCACTTGCTCAACCGCTCACCTGCTCACCCGCTCAACTGCTCGCCCACTTACCCATTCGCTCGCTCACCCGCTAACCGATAACTTTAAGCTTAAACCGAAAGCCTTCTTCTCTGACCATATGTGCAATCCAGATAATTTGTCTTTTCTGAATTCGACTTTTTTTCCTTCCTTCTTAGTTTCTCTCACTTGCCATCCCACCGATATTTTTTTCTCCATTTCACACTATACCCACTTCTCCAGAGTTTCCAGTGTCCACATCTCCGCTGTGTCTCACACATCACTCCACACTAAGGTGTTTACGACCCTCTACTTCAATTCCCACACTCTTTCCTATGATCAACAACACCACTTTATTGCCGGCTGCATTTAAATGCCGCATTGCGAACAGGGGCATGTGAGCACAATAATCACATCTAATCCAGCGACGGGCATTGACATGTCCTGTGACAAAGTCACAGAAAGTGGTTTCTGTGCTTGCTCATATCTCCGCAATATTGGCATCTACATTCTACCACACCTCAGAACGCCGTGCATATTCAATGGCCAATGTATACGTTATGGAGAGAAAGAGGCGGTCAGTCATCGGCAGAGGAGAAGAGGAATGTTTCCAGCCTGGACTTGAACAGGGACAGACCCGGCAGCACAGATGGCTGGCGAGAAAACGTTCCTGACAATGGTGGCAGCAGAGATGAATGAATGACTTCCCACTGAACGAAGGGTAACTGGGGGATTTGGTTGCTGGAGTGGAGAGTTCGTGGAGGGCAGTGGAGTGAGACGAGAGGGGGGAGAGGTCAGGAAGTTGTTTCTCTGGAGGCCGGGAGATCGTCGATCGAGGTTTGGCTGCCGGGTTGGTGGCGTTAATCGCGAATTCTCACTTAACAGAGTGGGCAGCATGAAGGCTGTCATATCCTTCCACGTTGGTAGGGTGGTGCGCGGAGGGTGATAGAGTGAGATGAGAGGGTAGAGGAGGTAGGGGCGAATCCAAGGATGGTCTTTGAAGGTGGTGAGCGCGACCTTGAAATTGATTCGGTTTTCTGTGACCAGTCATGCCCTCTCGCCTGTACGCAGCTGGCAGGCTGCGGGGTGATGGCGGTGGGCATCTGGACGCTGGTGGAGAAGGCCGACTACATCAGCCTGCTGGCCTCAAGCACCTTCGCTGCCACCGCTTACATCCTGGTGATCGCCGGGGCTGTCGTCATGGTAACGGGCGCGCTGGGATGCTGCGCCGTCGTCAAGGAGCGTAAGGCCTTCCTCCAAGCGGTGAGTTTCTCCGCACGCTTGCGCCACGCTCGTTAACTGGGTCTTCATTCACGGTTCTTAACTCGAACTTTTTCATTCACTCGATAAAATAGACTCTGTGACCTGAGTTCGATTCCTGACCACGTTTATCATTAACGCGAGGAGCAAGTCATACCTGAACCGGTCCTGCCCCACTCCTCACTTCACCAATTTGCATCGACCAGCATGGTGAAGTATAGTTTCCCGGTACTTGCGCCACCTGTTGTCTTTTGAAGTCCGCGGTTGGCACGCGCGCCCTCTGGCTGTAACAAGCGCCAGCCCGGCCAGGGGCGAGGCACCGCTGATTCACTCTGGTGCACCGCTTCCTCCATCGCAGCACTCCCTTCAGCAGCTTCTCCTCCCCGCTCCGCAGCCAGCTAGGCGCATAGCTATGCGTGGATTGTCCGATCGCGATCTTGCGCATTAAACCAGCGGTTAGTGGAGCGGTGGGCCTGAGGGCAGGTGACTGGCTCAAGGTCCCTCCATCCCACCCGATCGAATGCTACACTTAGCTAATATGAATCATAATACTGACTGCAAAGATCCTTGGTGTTAAGCTCAAGAATTGGATTGTCATATCAAATTGCAACCCCGACATCGTGACAATTCACCAAACCGCTCGGCACGAGGTTGGATCGCTCTATCCTACAAACCAACGCAGTCTCTCCGTCCTCTCGCCTGACAAAGCCGTTGTGACTCGCTTTATGCACGTGCTGCGCTTGCGGTAACGCTGGGTGCAGTGACTGGCGGATGCCGCGGATGCAACGGTTTTGGGGTGGTGTTTGTGAATTGCGTAAAAGAATGGAGCCACCCTGTGTGCGTTTGCCTGCGAGTGTTCGTGAGCATCCGCCTGCGTGGCAGTAAGGGGCAGTACAGAAACTCGGTTTCAGACCAGTTAAATGTTTCTCATACGTGTTTATTTTTATGGCCACTGCAGATTTTCTCCCAGATACAAATACAGGATACAGAAATTGCTGGATTAGGAGGCGCTCCATAAATTAACGTGCACCCTGTGCGCTGTATGTCAATAATGTTATACAAATCTAGTGACACATCTACCAGGTTATAAGATGCAAACGAGCATTAGTCTGCCAGTAGTGGGCAATTATTGCTGCAATGTGTAATGCCAATTGCAATTTTCTAATTTGGTACAGCTGGGGGGCTATAAGATATACACAACAAACAACCATTTAAAAGCGTAGCCCTCCCGTAGAATTGTCTCGAGACTTCGGGCAAAGCTTTCTTTACGTAAACAAGCATCATTAAAGCGCTGGCCTTCCTGCGGCTGTTAAGCAGCACAAGTGGCAAGTTGGTGCTCGTTGAGTTTGAGCTCCGTTGGGAGGTCGCCTGCCGGATCGCTACGCACCATCGCCCCGGCAAACCGGTCCGTTGTGCTTTCTGACAGTTTGCCAGGACCCTCTCTGGAAGCTGATAAAACAGATTTTTTTTTTACAAACAACAACCTGCATTCTTGCAAGGGAGGGGGGGTGGTGGTGGTGATGGCAGAGGCAGGGATGGAAGGGAGAGAGGGAGAGTGCTTGGGACTGAGATATGGTTGGCGGTTTAATGTCTTCACCATTGAGCAGTAATCAAGTCCATGACCATGTGTGCTTTGTTTCAATAAGAGTGGGCACAGTAAAACCGAGGTTCGTGCTCAAATTTGAGGTGTTCTCACAAAGCCATGAAAATCCATATTTACTGTAAATTTACTTGCTGGATAAAGGCCTCCCTCCTCTGCATGTCACGTCAGACATGGGTTTTTTTTTAACATACTTCACCATGCCAGCCTGTGAGTGTTAAGGCTATACAGGGTTATCTTTTACCCTGATGTGTGTGTGTGGCGAGCGGCAGTAGAGTGGTTAGTGCACTGCGTTATGGATCTGGCGGCCTTGAATTTAATTCCCGGCCGTGGCTTATACAAGTGCCGAGTGATATCTGAACTAGTCCTCGGTCTCCTGTAAGTCGACTCAGCCTTAAAATGAGTACCTGGTGTGGTGTGTGTCAATCTGGAGGTATCTGCCAAAGCTCATTTACACTGCAAGGAATTTGATTTAACAGTTTAGCCACGTAGGCTTTCGCGACCAATATTCGAAGTAGACGTTTTTTGGGTTAGATCGCGATCTCACTCAATTTTACCTTTATATTTATTTAGATTTTATCACTTTGGTGAGCTCGGTCACTTCCCACGAACGACACTCGTCCTGTCTTCTTGACTTGTTGCCCGGTTAAATAAAAAATAAACTCGATCTTTGTCCGCGTCTTCTTGTGTGCGTGCAGTACTTCATCCTGCTGCTGCTCATCTTCCTGCTGGAGATCATTGCCGGAGTCCTCGCCTACATCTACCACCAGCAGGTGAACATGTCACCCCTGTCTGTTCGTGCATCACTTCCCTGGTTGCCGGTTAAACTCTGCATTGATTTCAAGGGCCTTCTAACTTTTAAAGGCCCTGAATGATCTCGCACATCTGTACATTGGAGAGTGTTGCTGCTGTGCCCCTACAGCTCCAACAAGAACTCTGAGGTTCTTTCGGTAAAGTCACGTAGATGGAAAACAAAAAACAAAACAAAATTTTGACGTTTCGGAGGCAACACAAGCTTCCGTCATCAGGTGGAACAGCCACAGCAAAATCACTGTAGTGAATAGTGATTTTATTATTTTCATTTTTCATCTACGTGACTTTACCGAAAGAACCAAAGAGTGTGGATCCTTGCAGTCACGAAAACTTCAAACCTAGAAAGAACTCTGAGCTCGGTGGACTTGGATTAAACGATAAACTATTTAAAGATTTTTATTTTACCAGGTAAAGCCCACTCAGCTATACGGCTCTTTTTCAGAAGTGACCTGGCCACAAATGATGGCCCAATGAAGTGGCTTTTGTGGAAATTTCTAGCAGCCAAATGCTCTTCACACATGTTTCTAATAGTGGAGGGAAAAATTGGAGGACCCAGAGAAAAATCCACGCTGTCACGGGGAGAGAGAGACGCAAACTCCAAATATACAGCAGGCGTCAGGGTCCAGATCGAACCCACAACCTCCTGTAAACCAGGCACACTAATTAACATCTCCCCACCGTGGCACCCTCTGCATCGACAGAACGAAGCTCAAGCTCATGGGTGATTAGGCCTTCCCTTCTATGTATGTACGCATGTATGTTGAACTTCTTTGGAACCGTACGTAGCCAACCATGTTCATGGGAGATGCGGGGGAAGGACAACAAACTATACACAAAAGCAGTTGTAAAGAAATTAGTAGCACCTGGACTGTGGAACTCTCTGCCGAAGGCTGTCAGGGAGTCCGGTTCATATTTTAACTTGGTCACTTTTTACCCAACTTCCGATATCTCTTCGTCCTTTTAGTGACACAAGATATTATAGCTGTGTTTTTCTTTTAGCAGGAGTAGATTCATTATTAGACATGACAGGATCGTTCAGTTAATTTATTTAAATCGATTGTCACGCTCACGATACATGCATGTAACCGCGAGCGCGTGTGCGTGTGAGATAGAATCAGTTGCGTACCATTGCTGGACGCCATACGCAAGGTTTACCTCTGGACGACAGAAACGAACACGACCGAGCAGACGAAAGAAAACGAGTTGTACAATACAAACCGGCCGACATTTTTTATTTTAATCAAATTTCGCATCGAATCACGACAACGAATTGTGGACAAATTCATTGACTCTCGGTGGAGAGGGGAGGGAGAAGTCCTCTTGTCGGTATCGGCGTAGCGGGCAACACCGATAGCAATGTGGCTTTGCCGACAACGTTTACCCCCGGCCGTCCCCAGCGAGGCTGAAACGGCGTTGGTTCTCTTTGTCGTTTGTGTCTCCGTCTGTGGTTTCGACGTCGCCGACATGGCCGTGATCAGCTGAGCTTGGAGCTTCACCAACACCTGAACAGCACCATGGTGGAGAACTACCAGCAGGACCAGCAGGACCGCGTCACGTCCGCCGTGGACAAGCTGCAGCAGGAGGTGAGCGAGCAGCGGAGCGTTCTTGCTCATCATAATTTTTGGGAAGTCGATCGACAATGTTTATGAGTTTTATACATTTATTTTATTTTATTTTTTCCAGGTAAGGTCCACTGAGCTACGTAGCTCTTTTTCAGAAGCGGCCTGGCTATCACAAATGAGAGCCCAACGAAGTGGCTTGTCATCACGTGGAAATTTATAGCAGCCGGTGGACAGCTTCGGGAGTAGCTTGGCAGCGAAAATCTCCAACGCTGCTGGTGAATGATGGAAGAGTGCAGTGGGGTGGTACTGTGTGATTCATAGATATACATAGAGACCCATAGACTTGCGTAGTCTTACATAGACTCATAGACTCGCATAGACTTACACGGAGACCCTTAGACATAGATGGACGCGTTTTCTTTCGTATGTTTGGGAGTTGTTCAGCAGCGTTTATACGTCCACGTCGAGAGGTCGTTGTGTGGGCCGGTAAACGGCTTCAGGAGTAGCCCCGTGGTGCAAGTCTGCACTTCTGCCGGCGAATGATCGAAGCGGTCAGTGGCGTTACGATGTTTTTCATCAATTTAGTAAAAGTGGTCGGCAGTGTGTGCGCGCGCGTGCGTTCTATGTACAGATATCTGTGGTTCGTTACGGCTGCAACTGTTCAGTGCTCGACTGGGGCCGCCTGGCGCGTGATGTTTCTGCACAGGGTTGGGACGCGGATAACAAGTTGCCGCGCTGTCAATCGTTCCCAAAAAATGTTTTTGCGAACGACTAATTGGATGTATTTACTCACAACATTAATTAGCGATTCTTTGTTTTTTTCGGCTAAAAAATAAATGCGCAGCGGCGATCGCGATATGGCGGTATTCTATAAAAACGGGCGATACGATTAGCGGGGGACCTCGCATCGGTACAATAACATCGTCGCGTCGCCGTGCTGCGGCATCGCAATCTGCCTCCCCCTCCCCTTCCACAGTTCAAGTGCTGCGGCAGCAAGAACTACCAGGACTGGGCGAGCAGTCGCTACATCCGCTCGGCGGCGAGCAACGACCGCCTCGTGCCGGACTCGTGCTGCAAGACGCGCACGCCCAGCTGCGGCAAGCGCACGCACCCGTCCAACATCTACAACGTGGAGGTGCGCGATGCCGCGGTTCCGCTCGGTCGCACCGCTACGCCGGCCGCTTGCCGCACGCGCCTGTCCATAAGAGGGCTAGTCGTGGTGGTGGTGGTGGTACGGCACGCTCTGGACGAGGCCCCCCCACCCCCTCCTCCACGCCCTGCTGGCTGTGGGAACCGCTTGCCCACCGCCTATCCCCCTGCAGTCATTAACACCTGTTCTTGGTTCTTTTGGTAAAGTCACGTAGAAGGGAAATAATAGAATAATATAAATAAAACATAATACAATGGGCTCCCCCCTATCTCCGGTTGTAGCCAACATCTTCATGGAGAAATTTGAGACAGACGCCATCCAGACTGCCACTCTACGCCCGACCTTATGGAAGAGGTATGTAGACGACACTTTTGTCATCTGGCCACATGGCCGGCCTGCTCTAGACCAATTTCTCGACCACATCAATTCCATACACCCAGCCATCAGATTCACCATGGAAGTCGAAAATGATGGCAAGCTACCCTTTTTGGATGTCCTAATCAAAAGGAGACCTGATGGTTCAATGAGCCACTCTGTCTACAGGAAAGCCACCCACACGGATGCTTATCTAAAACCGGATTCCCACCACCATCCATCCCAGAAGAATTCCCTCATCAAGACTCTATATCATAGAGCCCAATGCATCTCCGACCATGAACACATTTCCAGTGAACTCAAACACGTACGCCAAGCTCTTAAGGCTAATGGTTACTCCGACTACACAATCCGCAAAGCCATCACTCCAACCATCAAGAAGGATCCTGTTGAGGAGCCTTTCAAGACCATCACCTTACCCTACATTGCTGGGGTCACAAAAAAGATCTCCAAAATCTTGATTAAACACAAGATCCAGGTCCGATTCAACACAGTACATAAAATCCGTGATCTGGTCCCGTCTGTAAAAGATGTGGTTCCAGACATACAGTACCCTGGCGTCTACAAACTAAGTTGCCTCTGTGGTAGCAGTTACATTGGAGAAACCAAACGACATGTCTCGGACCGCATCCGTGAACATAAGGCAGACCTGAAACACGGTAGGACAAACACCTCAGCCGTGGCAGATCACTGTTACAATTCAGTGGGCTCACATGACATTGACTTCTCCAAGACAGAGGTTCTCTGCAAGCCATCTGGCTATCATGAGAGATTCGTTCATGAGGCGATCCACATATACAAACACAGAGACAATTTCAACCGAGAAGATGGATTCTGGCTTAGCAATCATTGGAAGGACGTAATAAACCATTTCGGATCTTAACTGATTGTGTTCACGTTAACGGTGACTTTCAGACCGCGTTCCACTCACTGGCATGGTGCAGTGTGCAGAGTAATGTATGGTGTCGTAATTGTACAGTAAACATATAGCAGTATGATACACATTAGGGTGGGTAGAATAATACATAGTGTTATATTAAAATGGATAAGGCAGCAACTGCAGCAGCAGCAGCAAGTGCAGCAGCAGCAGCAAGTGCAGCAGCAGCAGCAACTGCAGCAGCAGCAGCAACTGCAGCAGCAGCAGAAACTGCAGCAGCAGCAACTGCTGCAGCAGCGGTGGCTGCGGCAGCAGCAATTGCAGCAGCAGCAGTAACTGCAGCTCCCTTTGATGCTGTTAATCCTGCATAATGCACATGCATATGCAGTACTAATCACATTCCTGCATTTCCCATAAATATGCTAAATTCCTTTTAATATGCAAATTCCTTTGTCAATGCGCCCAGCTTATATATATGCTCCAAGCTCGTGTGCTGTTTCATTCAGACTCTGTCGCCTCGACGGACCTGGTTTTCACCTGAGGACGGCTGCTTGCGTTGTGGCCGAAACGTCGTGAGAATTGTTTTATTATGTTTTATTTTTATTATTTTATTACTTGCCTTCTACGTGACTTTACCGAAAGAACCAAGAAGATGAATCCCTGCAGTCACGAAAGCTTTAAATCGAAATTCTCACGACGTTTCGGCCACAACGCAAGCAGCCGTCCTCAGGTGAAGAACAGAGCTTTCGGAAAGACAGCGTCCTAATGAACACTGCTAAGCTTGGCAGCGTATTTTAAGCTGGGTGGGAGGAGCAGAGAGCCTTGACAAAGGAGTTTACATATCAACAGAGGAATTTAGCATGTTTATGACAAATGCAGATATGGGGTTAGTCACTCCTTGTGGAATGTGTTGGCGGTGAGGGGTCTCATAGTCATATTAACACCTGTTTGTTTGCATGGTGGTTGGCCACCGGAGCGCTATCCAGCATCGATTATGCAAGTGTACGTATCTGCGCACATGTGATTTTGTTTCTGCGCTCATGTGGTTGTGTGTGTGTGTGTGCGCGTGTGCGTGCTGAGCAGGGCGGCTGCATCACCAAGCTGGAGAAGTTCCTGTCCGACCACCTGCTCATCATCGGCGCTGTGGGCATTGGTGTGGCCTGCCTGCAGGTACGGCCAGCAGTCGACGCCGCTGCAAACATCATTAGAACCTGGGGGAGTCCTCGGTCTGTCTTGAGCATTGCGCTCTAGAGCCTATTCAGGGGTAGGGCAGACCCAGGCTTATGACCATGGCCTGTGTGATTGCCTGCGAGTCTCACTGCCTCTCCTTTATCAATGACGATGATTAAATGCTGATTGTGCTATCCGCATCATGTCCATGTGGATCTCGCCCTTCGTGTTGGAGAATGGCCCGCGAAAGCGGATATCATACAGAGCTACTTCTGAGATCTCTTTAAAGTGACTGGGTCTACGCATTAGAGGGCAGCACCTTCCCACCCACATTAAGAGCATTGTTTGTCGAATGGGAGTCATAAATTAAGTGGAGAACCAAGTTTAATGTGGAGCGTTATGTTATGCAGTCATTGGTGACTCAACTGAGATCATCAACTCACAGCACTTGAGAATACGGTTTAATCACAGACAGCAGCTGCCTGGAGTTGATCATAGCGTCTCGGCAGTACTGGCTCAGCGCTCAGTTCATCGGCTTTCCCTGAAAGGGGTGCCAAGTGGAGGACGATAGGACCCAACAAACAAATTGCTCGGATCTTGTGGATGCACACCTCGGCTGCGGCTTTTGGGCCGTGTGACACAGTTTGAAGCTTTATTTATCAGGAAAAAATGCTTTAAAATGATGGTCCGGCGCTCTGCCTTAAAGCTGTGGTAAAGTCACCATGTTGGCAAATGAAACCGTATTGGACCGACGGCGCAATGACATCGCTAGGGTGCTATAATGGGGCACACGGCTAATTTAAAAGTATTTTTCATTATTAAAACCTCACACTCATGTCGCATAAGCCCAGGGCACACTGCCAAGGTACTTATCTGCCAGATGACGTTTGTTGTTATTGGGTTTATGTTTTTCCACTTAATAGGTTAGTGTTAGGTCGTGAGTGAGCAGTGCACCACCCCACGTTCAAAGGCTCGTACTGATCGAGCCGTGAATGGGCGAGCAGCGCACGGGTAACGTAACTCGTGCGTACTGGTCCGTTTCGGTACGTCCGTAACAAACGATTCGGCATGGGTCTGGTATTGTCATTCAAAGGTCACGACTCCTATATCCGTAGGAAGCGAGGGCATCCTGAACCCGTTATTTTAAACGACAGATAATTGGTGATGGGAGGACGAGAGAAAAAAAAAACAACCAAGGTAATCGGAATTTATTTGAGATTTTTCCAATTTGTTAGGGTTAGGGCTGCCGAGTTTTCCCCCGACCAATCTTGTAACTTAGTGGGGAAATGCCGTGGGCCCTGCCTGATGCGTTCACCAAGTTCATTGGCTGCACTGGCAGTGACGGCTGTTGAGGTTGTTCCTGGTTGAGTGTAATTGTTCTGTTGCTTGGGGTAAACCGTCGTCGGCCTTTTGCCCCCGAGCGTAAAATAACACCGCTCGTTCGTCCTGTCACGAGAATGCAAAATAGTACAATTATATAAAATGGTTACACTTTTGAGGAAATCTTTCGGCGTCAAATCCTCGGGAGAAAATATATTTTCTTTTCATTGTTCCGAAACTGAAACTGTCACGTCGCTGGGAAAGAAAAAAAAACTTCCTGCATACTTTTAATCAAGCGAATGGGGAAGAGATGCAAACTGAATCCTGGGTCTTAATTGGTGTTTCTGGCTTTCAGCTGGAATATTCAATTACATTTAAACAGCGTTTGGTCCGGGGAAAAAATATATAAATTATTAGTTTCAATCCACGTGCAGAATTATGCGAAGGAAATTGCGGTCATTAAGTGCTGCCCTGGGTTGAAGTCTGCGCTGGATGTCTGACCCCCGTTTGTGAATCCGGTATCCGATGTTGAATTTGTGACCGAGCGTTGCTGTGTGAAGGGAAGTTGATGCTCCGGTTTTCCCCCGAATAGGGAGTTGTTTTGCACGGTGCTACGATCAATAAACTCCTGGGTTCAGCCTGCAGTTGAAAGCATTGCTGCTTTGTTCCACTGTTAAAATAAAATTTATAATTTACAGCCCTTAGCCGATCCACTACTGGATGAAAGTCTCCTCATTCCAGACGGTTTGTGAGGGTTGTTTGCTGCGCTGTTTGTGGGTTGGTGAAGAGACCATAGAGGTTAGAAATAGTGCATAACAGCCTACGGCGCTACATGGTTTGCAGTATAGATAGAAATAATAAAAATCGAGTTAATCTGTACATCTGGTTAATTGTGTCCTGCCTTCCCCACTTTCGTCCTGTCATCTCTATCTCTGCCGATTTCTCACTGGCTTCCACTCTCCCTCCTCGTCCCCCGTGCCATACCCTCTCCCCTGTGTGTTCCCAGGTGCTGGGGATGATATTCACTTGCTGTCTGTACCGCAAGCTCAAGTCGGACCCGTACTAATCAGCGGTTCGTGCATCAGCCCCACCGCCCCCACCTCCGCATCGCCTGCCGTTTCGTCGCGTCAAACCACACCACTCTCTTGCCGACCGCCGTATTCCACTTCGTTCTCGCCCGGTGCTGATGCCCAGTCGGTCACCTGCCGTGGCCAAAACCCAGACACGAGCACCTTGAGGTTGCAGCCTTTTCTCTTTGTAATCTTTATTCCCTGACGTTCATTCTCATGAGCCCCGGCCGGCTGGCCGAGCGGTAAGTGCACTCACCGCTCGGCCAGCTAGCATGGGAAGCGACGGTTCGATCCCCGTTACAGCTGCCCGCTAATTTATTTGGCGAATGTATTACTGAGCCTCTGAGGCTTGATTGGGAACAGCCCCGTAATGTTATTTGCAAGAGCAGGCAATTCTATGTAATGCCTCAAATGTAACACTACATATGTAATCAATCGTACAATGATATATAGTCGTATATAATCGGTGATAATGTAGTAAATGAGTTGTAGAGAAATCATGGCCGTTGATTATGATTAATGCAATTAATAGTAAATCTCACTCGACCTCCCCCCTGGTTAATTTGATAATCTTAAATACAATTCGATGATTACTCCGACTTTTAAATCATGGAACGGCTATGGCCACGACACCACGGTGACAGTGGTCGTCACAGCAGCCGTAACAGCGACGATGTCAGCACGGACGATGGCCGCGATAATCACGACGACGGTGGTCATCTCCCACAGGGGTTGACACCGACTGCACGAATGATCGGCCTTGCGAGCACGTGCTTAGTCTGATCTCATCTAGCCGTATCTTCCGCACGATGGTTAACGATGCGTGAATGTTGGTGTCGGCTGTGTTCCTTGTAACAAATCTCGCCGTGAGAGCACTCTCCCATCCCAAGCTGCGCACTTCGCTTCGCTCGAAAGTTTGTGCCTGGTGTGCGAGTTCGCTGGCTACCTTCATCTCCACGCTACGTGCCACCTTATTGTGCCGCACGTAATTCCCTGTGCCGATTGGCGCCTGCTCACCGCAGGCTGCGCGCGCTTGTATATTATTTGTCTCCACTGCGTGCCGCTTATGTCTCCACTGCGGTTGAATTGCGACGGCGATAATAGGAAGGAAGGTGAAAGTTAATAGCAACGCGAGAAACTACGCGTTCTATCGCCTGCTTCGAACATTTGGTCCCTTCTCCGGAATCCGCAATATAAAAGCACTCGCACGATAGACAGCAGCAGCGTCGCCTGCACGCGTCACAACGAGTCGAGGTGCCGTGCCCGGTTAACGTTTCATTCGCGTCTACGGGTTTTTAAAAGCGTGCACGCTGATTGCGTCCTGTTCCGGCCCTCGTCCGTGAATTACCGTGCTTGCCGCTCCTTTGCCGGCGATTTTTAGGAGAAATTAGACCGTGGCGAGACTCCGTGACCTGCCTGCGCGCCGAGGGCAATTCGGGCTTGGCGACGTATCTGTGCTCGTGGGCTCTTCCCTTCTCTCTCGCACTGCGCTGGCGTTTCACGTCCAATGCCTTGGGATCATCGTGGTCTTGGAGGAGGATTTTTTTTAACGTTGCCTTACTATGATATGCTTTGTTGTCTTGCTTTACTTATATAATGTGGTGTTTTTGTTGTTGTTAGTATTCTCGGAGGAGATGTGAGTTTAAGACGCCCATGCCAGTTTGCCTGATCTCATTGATTTAAGTGCCTTTCTCTGCGTTGTGTAACTTACCTGATGGGTAGCTGGAATGACGCCTTGGCAATCGCTCCATAGCGCCGTGCGTGCGTGTATGCGTGTGTGCGTGTGTCTTTGTAGCATCTGTGGGGAGCGGTAGTGCAACGGTTAGCGCGCTGCGCTACGAACCCAGCGACCCGAGGTTCGATCCCCGCTGACGGCCAACACCAGTGACGATTATCTGGGCCTCCCCTAGGTCGACTCGGCCTCAAATGAGTACCTGGTACAATGTAAAAACATTTCCACGAGAGAGACGAAAGCGGCCGGGCGTGGTGTTATCCACCCACCCCCTCGTGTGCCGTGCCGGCCTTCAAAGGCGTTCTCTAGAAGCAAAATGCTTCTGGAGAAGGCTGTATGGGGGATGTTTGTTGTCGTAGAATTTAGCGCACCGCACTGTGGGCTCGGTGATCTTGGTTCGATACCCGGCCGTGACTAACATTCGTGGCAAGAGGTATCTGAACCTGTCCTGGGCCTCCCCTACGTCAACACGGTATTAAATGAGTACCCGCCTGTGGTGTGTTAACATAGGCACAGGGGGAGTTGAAGGTAGCTGGGTGTGGAACTGGCCGGAACAGTTGTTAAATGTAACTGGTGTTGGTCAAAAACATCCCGATGCTGAAAAATGTTGTTGCAAATCACTCAAATGTGGGATTACACGTGGCAGCATCAACATCACCCCCTTTTGTCAAAACTTAGCAGGACCCCCCTGAATAAGTCCTGGGACTCTGCGAGGCTTCCCCGGGTAAACGAAGCAAGTGTCCTCTTGTGGCCGTGTCAACCTTAGTAGTTGCTCACTAAGTAAACTACACTCTACGCTCTCCAACACTAAATGGAGTATATTGGTTTTTAGGGTGCGTATTTGAGGTTTTTTTTTATTTCCTATAAAGTGCTTTTACTGTAGCGTTGTAGACAAATTGAATGAGTCGTGCCAGCCTACTGTTACTTAACTTACCACGATCAAAACTTGCCGTGAAGGTAGCCTGTCAAAGGCATTATTAAATACCTTATATATACACACGCACACACTGCACATGATATATATGTACACACTATCCGCTTGTAAAACATTTTTATTACTCGAGTTTTAATGGTCAACGTGAGCTTCGTTTTTGACCGGGGGTGATCGAAAAGTCCATGGGAGTGGAGTTTTATCTTGATTCGAGGTGTACCGATGTATACATTCATCGATTGAAGCTCACGACAAAAGCGATATTGAAACGAACCCCACGCCGTAATGTTACAGCAGCAAAAAAATCCCTTCCAGAATCATATCGCAACGCAACATTATCGCGACGGTTCGTTGAATTGCGTTGTCATGCCCATGAACCGAATTCACTGGTGGACTTACAGTCCCGATTGGCGGAGACCCGATTCCACTTTGTACGATTAACATGTCTCATTATTTTCAGATGCCTTTTTATGTATAAAAAATATAAATGTGGGTAGAAATGGGGCACATTTTTATATTTTTTAAACACCTGATCTGTTTAATAGTCTAGTCGATCAGCTCGCAATGTGGTGATTTAACGTGGTGGGCATTCCCACCTTTTCCAAGACCTACTTGTCCAGCGTGAAGGAGCAGTCGACATACCCTCGACGGGGGCTCTCGGAACTCCCCAGGAGTCGAAACCCTTCCGCCAGTAGTGGCTCCAGTGAGTAATTGCAGGGTTGTACCTTAACAATTCTATTTAATACAATTTTAAAACACTTCATAATCGAATAATAAAACGGGCCAAGATTTCCCATTGGAAACAAAACCCCGTGACGGTTATATGACCGCTGACTTTACGATCACTCCTTTTCTCGTCTTGCAGTCATTGCGGTTTTAAACCTTGCGGATAGTAAGTACACAATTGCCCGATGGTCTCGCGTGTCAGGACCCATTCACAACATATTTAGTATGTGCGGTCTGGGTGGATGCAACAGAAGTTGCCACGAGAGGTTTGGGGGAGTAAGGGAACGGAACTTGCCCCGAGCTCGGCTGTTACGATCCATCAGACGCCGACAGCGGATTCTTATTGTGCCAAGTTTCTTTATTCTTGAAAGTGTTCTGTTAATCTTTTTTTGTTCCAATCGTGCCATCGGCGTCATCACGAGACGAGGAATCCATTCGGAAAGCTCGCCTAGCAGAGCCGACCCCGTGTGCTGGATCACGGCTGCAGAATTGCTTCAGCCCTCAAGTGGTGGTCGCACTTTCCACACACACTCTGCTATCAAAAGGTCGTGTGACGTTCAAACCGATTATTTTAAAGTTTCACGGTTAGAATTCATCCAAATTAACTCCAAACCAAATTCAATTTGTTGGGTTTATTTTTTTTTACCGGCTTGAGACCATTAACTCCTTACTCACTGGCAGTTGCCCGAATTCGAACCCAGGATGTCAGCAGTGACATCCGGCCCACCTCCCTTGTACACAGATGCCTTGTTCTCGGAGAAAATCTCACAATTAAAATTGTTTCGGTGCCACTCCATTCCCTGTCTTGATAGTTTGCCCTCCTCCATCTTGCACGCTGCTAGATTCCCTAGCTATTTCCGCACCTCCGATTAGCACGGTTGGCTACGTACGGTGCGAAAGAAGTTCAACGTACACACATTGCCCTACCGCTTGCCTGGGTTGGACACTCGGAGGAGGTGTGATGGGTCGTATGCCAGGGATCGGTACGGTACTGGGGCTGTCCTTGGAAACCTCTTCAAAGACGTCTACCCAGTGTGGAACGAGTCGGCCAAAATACTTACCGATGGGGTCTGGAGCTCCGAAGTTCAGGCCCCTGCCTCCAAAAGTGACGTGGGCTCGTAATTTTCAGCGCTGCATCTTTGCCTTTCATTTTTAAAACCACTATCCTGGGCCAGTCTCACGTTTGGCTGTAGCTTAGGGGCTTGTGCTGCATGATTTATGTATACAATACACATTCTACCTATCGTGACGTGTGTGTGTGTGTGTATATACACACAGATATATCGAGGGCCTTGGCAAAGTGCATAATCATTCGCAGTGGCTGCTCTCAAGTATGTGTTGCTACTAAGTTCAATGCTGCCAGCGCAGCCTTACGAATTCACTGTCTTGTATTTGTTGAAAGTGACACGTGTTGGATTTGAATGGATCCCCTTTCACTTTAGATTGAGCTCTTTTTAAGGCGACCACCATTCACTTAAATTGAGGTCCAGTATTTGCAACATCTACGTAATTACGCCTAAGCTAAACTAATCATGTGGCCATGGTGAAGGTTGGTGATATCATATACAATTTTCGAAATGTGTGTTTGATTTTTTTTATGGAGAGACTGCATTGAAAGTTGTGTGCAAGTACAGTACACACAGACTCGCCATCTTCATCATTCGCACCGCCTTCATTCTCAGCCGTGGTCTATCCACTGCTGCATGGATGCCTCCCCAAGCTGTTGCCATCTCTCGCCGTGCTGCGATACGACGACGAGGCTATTTCCTGCACAATGAATGAGCAGCGCTGCATTGCAGTGTGGAAATAAGAGGCCAACTATTCAGAGCCACATGGGGACTGCGTCTCCTTTGCAAGGGAGACCTTGGATACAAAAGCGAATAGAATAATACAAAGTTGAGCCGAAAAAATGTGTACGGTACAACTATTACACAAGCCCGTTTACTATATAGTGTGGCAGTGGTTAGCGCACTGCGTTAAACACAGCAGTTCCGGGTTCGAATCCCAGTCACGGATTCATATTCTTAGGTTTTTTCGGTAAAGTCACGTAGGTAAAACATCAAAATTAATAAAAATAAAATAAAGCAAAAATCACGACGTTTCGGAGGCAACACAAGTCTCCGTCATCAGGTGGGACCGTCACAGCCGGATTAGCTGCATCAAGTGAGGCAATGATTCAAGATGTAATCCCTTAAAAAGGCAAGTTGAGGGGGAGGAGAGGGGGGGGGGAGCTCATCAGAATGCGGATATCGATGGGGACCGATATCTACACCGGTCATGGGTATACCCCCCCCCCGCCTTTCACGAATCTGACTGTCCAGAATGGTGAAGTATGATCAAACATGCTCTGTCGACACGACGTGGGGAGGCCGCCATCAAACTGGATGATACACAGGGCTAATATAATAATGTGCATCCCTTTGTGAAGAATCCATTGCTGGATGAAAGCCTCCCCTTCCCAGTGTCGGTCATGGGTGTTGATTTTTTTTACTTTATATTTGTCAGCAGCCATTGTGAATGATGAAGGTGGTGATTTTGTTTTGACTAATGCTCTGGAAGTGGCCTCGACAAATCTCTGTCGAGAGTCAATCGGTGGCAACGGGGGTTTTATTTTTTGCAGCAGCAGCGTTTTATCGCCTTCCCGTGCACCCGCAAAGCAAATTTCTAATTTCAACGGTCGCCTTCGTAGGGGTTTTATATTTTTTACGTGCGGGGCTCGTAAAGTTGAGCGTGGTTGCGTTGACCATTGCGCAGCGGACACGACCGTCAAACGTAAATTGTGGAACCCTCCGCTGGGTTATGCACGCGCGCACGCATGCGTAGCACTCTGCACGAGACGAACCATCCTGCCACATGCACGATCCTATATTGCCGAGATAATTTGTGCTTTTATTCACCGATAGACATTGGCCCGTTCGGTCATGATCATGTGTAATGACCGCATGACAATCCTGTTTTACGCGTTCGTGTTCGAAATAAATGAAGTGTAACCACGTTTGTTGTCATCGCGATTAGGTCCGTGCTGTTGATGTTTGAGTCGGCTTGGATTGTTGTTATTTACTGACGTTCGTACGCACGCACATCTGCTATCATTTGCCCCTAATTGACGGTGACATCACGACGGTGCTTGTGCCAGGCTAAGTGCACTTTGAAGCCATGTGAAATGCCGAGAGCTCTTTGGCAGGTCACCGGGCAGACACAGATGTTATCGGTTAATTCGCCGGAGTGATTGTCAGACGAACCGCTCGCACACACAACAACAGCAGCAGCCGCCATTCATCGCAAAACCATCGAGACGTGACCGCAGTGCATGTGCCAAGTGAGGTGTTGACCCATAACACCTGGGCCTGTCACGTGATCACCTGGGCCTGTCACGTGATCACCTGGGCCTGCCACGTGATCACCTGACAGCGAGCCTGAGACATCGCACGAGGTTCTCAGTGCGCCGAGCCTGACACGCGCACACACCACACGCAAGCACACACACGGACGCATCCAAACGCTCCTTCTATCTGGATCAATCATCGGCTCTCTTTCCAACACGCGCCATTCACTCCGTGCAGCATCCTGAGATGCGGTTGTATTTCGGCGATAGAAATCCACATTGCACCATGAGCAAATCACCTGGGATGTGCCCTGTTAGATTTCAGAATCCGAGCAGGTGTCGAACCTGGATAGTGCTTGGATGGGTGACCTCTGCACATTAAATTGTTAAAGGCTGCGGGGCTATGCAGAGGGCAGCAGATGGCAGTGCAGCACAATATATTGTTATACTGTACTTGCATGCTTCCTGTCTGTGCTCACCATCACCAACCAGCTTGGTGAGTATGGTCAAATCACCCCCACGACCCACACACTACGTCGGAACGCTCCTCATCCAGCAGTGGATTGACCAATGGCTGTACAGATGCATGTGCACAGATCTGCATTGTGTTGTAGGTCCAACTCACTTCTCATCGCACATACCACACACCGCAACCAACTCGGGTTAGATCCAGTAGACAATAACGGATAAACTGTGCAGACTTTACACTTCGTATTTAAAACTATTAAGTAAATAAGTGTACCGAGCTGGGTTGCACACTGGATGATTAAGGGTGTAGATTACAGCATTCTATAGTGTGCCAAGGCCACGCTCAAATATTGACAAAGGTCTGAATTTTTTTTGGGTGGGGGGGGGGTGCCAATATTTCCATCACTCAAATTTGGGGGGGGGGGGGGGGATTGATGAAGGTGGTGTGGTGTGGGTTATGGCTGGAGAAGAGATGGAGGATGTGGAGCTGAGTGGACTTGCCGAAGACTGGTACCAGCGGTGTCAGGATCGGCCTCTGTGGAGGAGGCTCGTGAAGGACGCTGCTACTGGGCAGTTGGAGGCAGAGGAGCGACGCTCACAACAACGAGCGGAGCGCCGGGCAGATAAAATGCAGCAAGTTGGTACAGTAGGGGGTACAGCTGATGCATCTACCGGTCATCTCAGTCAGCCAGCCCATGGCACCTGGGTCTGTCCCGAGACCTCTTGTCAGCGAGCCTTCGACACTTCACGTGGCCTCAAAGTGCACCTGGCCTGGCACAGTCGCCGTGACTCTGTGGCGAATGGCGGGGTATCGGTATTGTTTGTGGCTGTGACGTCAAGATGTGGAGTTCAAAAACGAGCAATGGAGAGATGCTCCTCTTCATCAGCAGCCCTGATCAAGTGGTGTACATTCCACATTTCCATGGCAGGGGCTGAGGTATGGTGGCAGTCTGTTCCATCGGATAAATTAAGTCACCCTGATTGCACCCGACCTATGGGTCTCGGAAACTAAGCGGGGTCCAGCCTAGGTTAGTACTTGGATAGGAAACTTGCCAGGGATTACCAGGTGTTTTTGGCTTTAGATGCGAGTTGGACGTGAAGACCACCGCTGACTTCCCACCAATCAGTACCGTATTTCATTGGCTCCGGATGAGTGCGATTTGAACTCGCAACCTTTCGAGCGCACAAAGCACAGCGTCACACCGCCGCTATTGTTGCGTTACTAATCCTCCCAAGTCAAAGCATGCACACCTGTGCCCACCTGTGCACGTGTTGTGGGCAGGTGGAAGCGTTGATTGACAGTATCCTGTCGACGAAATGGCATCAACAACCGTTTCGTGGATCCGAGTACACACGGTTGTCTAGAAATTGCGGGATTCTCTCACTCATCGCTGTTCGAGTCGCACCACAGGAAGGGAAAATTGCTCGGTTCACTGATGATGAGGATGGTGGGTTTTTAAGCTTTAATGAGACGTAAAGCAGTGGTTGTCCCACCTGATGACGATTGCTTGTGTTGCGATCGAAACGTCGTGATCTATTATTTTTCTACCTACGTGACTTTACCGAAAGAACCAAAGAGTATAGGATTCCTGCAGTCACGAAAGCTTCAAATCACGACAGTATCGAACTGTAGGCTGACCCAGGGGTCTTTTGACAGCCAAAATCTGGAAGTTTGGGTAGTCTGATTTTTTTCTAATTATATTGTTAGGTCGATCATACGTATGAATATGTCTAGCCATTCTAAAACAGCATTAGGTTTTGTGTCACTCAGTCATGGTCGCCAATAATATTATAATTCATTATTTGGTAAAATTGCGTTCGGCGGCCGCAGCTTAATACTGCACCTTGTATTTTGGAGTCTTGAGATCGTGATGCCCCGGTAAAGATGAACGTTTGATCTTGATTTGAAGCTTTCGTGACTGCAGGAATCCATACTCTTTGGTTATTTCGGTAAAGTCACGTAGGTAGGTAAGAACCAAAGAGGATGGAACGTTTGGCCAACGTTGACCGAACGATTCCAACCATAATTCCAACGTTGGCGATGTTTACCGTGGCTTTCCCTGCGCAAAGCAAGCGTCGTCAAAGGGAGTCGCGAGGCCAAATCCGCTTGCGGTGAAAGGACTCAGCGTCGTGTGCGAACCGCCACCGCCAAGTTTTGGGAGGGCCCGGCGTGGCCTCGCTGGGCGTGATGGGGAAGGCGAAGTCGCTCGCCCGGGTTGGTTTGAAGGTGGAGGGGGGGTGGCGACTCCCAACTCCATTGCCGAGCCTCCAACGCGGCCACGCCTTGCGGCCACCCCCATCCGTCCCACCGCTCCGCTGTATCCACAGCCACCCCCCACACCTTCCTCCCCACGAGGGCGCGTCTGGGACGAAGGAGAGACCAGCCCCCCCCCCCCGTCTATACCCGGGGAGGTCCCCCCCACACACACACAACTATACAGAGCGAGATAGAGAGACGCACACACTTCCATACAACTATACAGAGCGAGAGAGGAGAGACACACGCGCAGACGCTATACAAAACGAAAGAGAGAGACACGCACAGACGCTATACAAAGCGAAAGAGAGAGACACGCACAGACACACATACACACAAATTATAGAGCGAGAGAGAGAGACACGCACAGATACACCTATACAGAGGGAGAGAGAGACGCGTCAACCCCCAAAGTCGGACGAAATCGCGCACAGGTACGGGGTTGCCACCAGCTCTTCTCGTACAGGTGAGCGCGGTGAGAGCCGCAGTGACTTGCCGGGGTTTGACGTCGAGCACTTGGCCGGCCGTCTTTGTCTCCCCAGGACCTTCGCCTAAAGTGCAATAATGATCGTAGAGACCCCACGTGGAACATGAAGCTGGGGTTTGTCGCTTGAGCGCTCGCAATGTGACAGGCCATAGGAAGGCGGTGACTGCATTGTCTGCTGATTTAGTTGTTGTTTAAGGTTGTGTGTGTTGTGTGTAGGTGTGCACTTAGGTGTGCTCGCTCAGTACTTGCCCCAATAGTTCTTGTATGTATGTATGTCGCGAAGCGTGTGTTTGTGTGTATGTACGTACGTATGCATGTCTTTGTTCTGTGTCTGTATCTATGTGGAAATGATGTCTATGTCGGCGCACCTCAAAGTGTGCACCTAGCCTGGCACTATAGCCGTGGTGACCGCACTTCGTGACGCACGCTGTTGTTGTTGCTGTTGTTGTTCTCGTGAGTCCGAGCTGACTGAGTGTTGCGTGGGGAGCGGTGGCGCAGCGGTTAGCGCGCGGCGCTACGAACCCGGCGACCCGAGTTCAATTCCCGCTCACGGCCAACACCAGTGACGATTGTCTGAATCGGTCCTGGGCCTCCTCCCCTCGGTCGACTCAGCCTCAAATGAGTACCCGGTGCGGTGTGTAAACATCACCGCTGGGGAGACACCCACCCCCTCCGTATGCCGTGCCGGCCTTCATTAGGTGCTCGCGAACAGTACTTGCCCCAAGTCTGTTAAGGCTACGCGGGGGCCTTTGTCTTTGCCGTGTCATGTCGAGTGTTGAGTGTTGCTGTAGCGAAGACCTCCATCCGAGTTGGGGGCGATTTTAGTTTAGAGAGATCGTTGGCCTCTTGAAAGTTGAAACCGGTAGCCGGCGACTTTGCCCGAATGCGGCAACTTTCGGTTTCACTTCTTTTAGGTTTTGTAAAAATCTAACCCCCCGCCCCCACCTCGATTCACCCTGGGATAAGCCTCCCCGAGTCCTCAAGACTCTCGTTCGGGAGGGCACCTTCCGATTCGCACTGCCGGCTTCCTTACGGTGCGAAAGAAGTTCAACATACGTGCACGTGTGGCCAATTCCGTGAACGTGAGTTTCGCTTCCAGCTGTGGGAGAACAACCCTGCCACGTGTAACTCTTATCGCTCCGCACAGATCGATTCATGGATCCGTTGCGCTGTCATTCGCTGGTCACCTTGCAGCTGTTAAGCCGACAATCATCTGGTTACTCCCAGGCAGTCTCCCATCCAAGTACTAACCAGGCTCAACCCTGCCACAGCTTCGGAGATTCGACGAGATCGGACGCGCTCAGGAAGTTTAACTCGTTACACCCCCTTTGTAGAAGCCACCTCATTAAATCACCGCTACATGTACATTGCTCGGCACGGGTTTCTTGATCAGTGGCACGTGCGAGCACATCCAATTGAAGAAGTGACTCAAGGAAGACGCGGGCCAAAGGACAACAA